CCCTGCAGACGACGACCCTCTACCCGCCGGACCCCAAGCAGACGCGCAGCAGCGGCAGGAAGCTCGCCCGCTCCGACGCCGCGCGCCGCACGAGCGCCTTTGACGCCGCCATGGCGTCGCTGCGGAGACGCGGCAGGAAGACGAGCGATGTCAGGCCCGGCTATTTCGACGCCCGGCGGTGAGGGGCCGGCTGGGCCGGCGGCCGAGAGCGCGGAGGGGCTCGAGATGAATGTGGCCGGGTCGGCCATTCCGAGCATCCTCGAGGAACCAGAGCCGGAGGGTGCGCGAGCGGAGCTGACACGCCGACATGGGAACCAGGGCGAGGCACGGGGGCATGAGCATGCAGGGGAGGAAAAAGAAAAAGTCAAGGTTGCCGAACACTGAGCAAAGTCCATTCATTGGGGAGACAAGGCGATATGTGGGTTGACAGCATCGATCGATGGGATCATGGGGCACCGGGAGAGTATGCTGCATGGCTCAGGGAATAGTTTCGTACAGTCCGAGGTCTCCCCGTCGGTTCGACAGCGAGGACCAATACAATCAATACAACAAAAGAAAAAAAAAAGGCCGAGAGTACTACACGTAACGTATACATTTTGCTTTCCACCATCTTCCTACCCCGAGATCCAGTCCAGGCTACGGCCGGCAGTCCCCCATACCGTCCTGCCCGTTCATCCAAACCGGGAGTGCGGACGAGTATCACTATCACACTCTCTCGAGGCGACTCCGCCTGTCCAGCCCGATGCCGACAGCCCTGCTCAGACGAGACGCGCTCAGAGCCCAAAGACACCTAGATCAACCCCCGCTTCTTAGCCAACACGGCCGCCACCAGCGCCACGATCCACCGTAGCAACGCACCTTTCACCGTCTTGGCGCCGAACCCTGTGAGGAAACTGAACCAGTAGCCGAGTCCGCGGATCTGGTTGCCGCTGCGGTCAAAGTCGGGCTTGCCGGCGCTCATCGACTGCAGCCGCGCGAGTTCCTTGGGCGAGTAGGGCATGTAGCGGACGCGGAGGAACTTGTCGAGCCACGAGGGCACCTGGGCGACGCTGCGACGGTGCGTGAAGAGATCAAAGGACGCGCGGCCGCGGTAGCTGCCGTGTCCCGACTGGCCGACGCCTCCAAAGGGGACCGTCAGAATGGAGGCATGGGAGAAGACGTCGTTGATGGTGGCGCCGCCGGACGTCGTCCTGTCAAGAACTGCCGCTGGGTTAGTCTGGGTCGCGCACACACTGGCTGCAAGGGGCACCGCGCGAGGACGACGTACTCTTCTTGGTCTCCGCCTCGTTGCCGAAGGCAAAGAGGGCGAGCGGGGTGTGGCACAGGTCGTTGACCAACTCAATCGCGGCGTCGAGGCTGTCGTAGGGCAGGATGGCGAAGATGGGGCCGAACGACTCCTCGCGGACGACCGAATCGTGAGGCGAGTTGGCGAGCACGATGGTGGGCTCAATGAACAGCTGCGCCTCGTCCATGCCGCCACCAACGACAATCTCGCCCTCGGTGCTGTCGAGCATCTTCTTCATGCGGGCAAAGTGACGGGCGTTGACGATGCGGGACAGGGTCAGGGCTGTTCTTGGCACCGCTGGGGAAGAAAGGACTTGAAAGGTCGACTGAAGGCGGCGATGAGGTCCGGCACACCGGCACGGTCGGCGAGGATGTAGTTCTGGGAGAGGCAGACCTGGCCGGCGTTGAGCGTCTTGCCCCAGCCGAGGCGACGGGCGGCGAGCTTGATGTCGGCGTTGCGGGTGACAAAGGCGGGGTTGAGACCTCCGAGCTCGAGACACACGGGGGTCAGGGTCTCGGCGGCCTTCTTGGAAATGATCTTGCCGACGGCGGCGCCACCGGTATACATGATCTTGTCCCACTTGACCTCGAGCAGAGCCGTGGTCTCGTCCACGGCGCCGTTGACGACGGCGTAGGCGGAAGGGTCGAGGGAGGCCTCGACAATCTTCTTGAGGACCATGGCAGTGGCGGGGGCTCCCTCGGAGGGCTTGAGGACGGCGGTGCAGCCAGCAGCGACGGCGCCCAGCAGGGGAACGAGGGACAGCTGGGCCGGGAAGTTGTAGGCACCAATGACGAGGACCATGCCGAGAGGCTCCTTGCGGACGCGAGGCTTCATCATGATGAACGTCATGGGCACGTCGCCGACGGGCTCATCCTTGGTGAAGCGCTCCAGGTTCTTGATGAGATAGAGGCAGTCGTCCTTGATCCAGTTGATCTCGGACAGGAGGGCTTCGTGCTTGGACTTGCGCAGGTCCTGCCTCAGAGCATTGATGAGGGCCGGGATGTGGTCCTCAAAGGCCCAGTAGAACTTGCGCAGCTGGACGAGCCGCCATTGCACGTCCTTGGTCTTGTAGGAGCGGAAGGTAGCACGAAGGGTGTCCGTCACGCGCGTGATGTCGTCCAACGAGGTGTTCTCGAAAGCGGGAATCTTCTGATCGACAGCGGCTGCCATGATGGGCAAATGCGAGACGATGTCCTTGTGTCAAGCAGAGATGGGTGGACGGGTAGAGTGCACCTAGGGGTGATGTACGCAATGTGTGTCGCTTGAAGAAAGCAGAATGGGGGGTGATGGTGAGATCGAAGGGGTGGAGGCGACGGACGGCACGATGAGACAGCTGGAGCAGGTAGCTCGTGCTTAAAGCCGATGAGGGTGCTGTCAGGCTGCTCCCCGACCTGCTCCCCTACCTGCTCCCCTACCTGCTCCCCTACCTACCTTAACCTAGGTACCAAGACACGAAGGAGAAAAGGTCGCCAAGGTGGCTGCGGGGAAGCGAGCAGGGGGGAGCGAGCTCGTTGCCCGATGAAGGGAGAAGGGGGGGGGGGGGACACGGCATGGATGGTCTGGCAAATGAGCAGCACTGTCGCTGTATCAAGGCAGAAAGCTAAACCGATGAAGCGCATGTGAATGAGTCTGTTGAATGCAACGGCGCGGATCTCCCGGGCGCGAACCTCTCGGGCTGCCAGCAGGCAGACAACGACGCGCGCTGGTGTTGCGTTCTCCACGAGGTCAGTGCCTCAGATAGCTAGCATCATCTGCCTGCCTACCTCCCTACCTACCTACCTACCTACCT